CAAGACTCAAACACAAAGCAGACATGGCCATAAGGCCCATAAAGGAATACACTGGGGGCAGAAATTAATTAAAACACACTGATTTGCTCACCACACAACTTTTATTGCTCTTAACAAATGCAAATATGTCCAAGTAGACGTACACCCATCAATCTGCCAGAGTCAGCCTGCATCAGTGCTGTCTGCTAACGCACATGGTTTGATAATTCCACAGAGGGAAAGAGTGGGGAGGGGAGCAGCTCCAGTCACCCCATGCACTCATTAAGGCAGCAAGCAACAGAGGAGGACACGGGAACCATGGCATCTCTTACAGAATTCCCACATTGAGGATCAGTCCTGTTGCAGCGAGCCCACAAATGGTTTCAAGCAATATTCTCCTTCTGCCAGTGCTGTGTGCAGGAGCCATGATTACTCCACTGACACAGTGTGCATCACACACCCACACCAAATTCACCTGACCGCAGTGATTGACAAAGTCCATCACAAACATGAACAATTCCTGACCTCAAAAAGCCTCCCAGCAGCTCTTTTCTGCTAGAAAGGTACAGGACAGAGTTTCCTTGTAAATAGGAACTGATCACCCAACTTCAGTAAGCCACTGATGTCATGAATGGCATCCAAGGGTAAGAGAGGGACTCTAGCTCACCTCCTCATGCACTCAGACACCTCTTAACAACCTCCCTGCCTCACACCCACAAAGGACTCTCTCACCAGAGACAGACCTCCTCTCATTTTCTGCTAAAATGGCTGGAGTCGGGTGAAGAGGGCAAAGACATCAATGAGGGAGCAAACAGGACCACAGACACATGAAGGGAAATGAGAATCCCAAATTCTGGCTGAACAGGTCAGGAATTCCCACCCAACACATCTGAGCCGTGATGTACACTCTGAGAAGACACACGCAGTAGCTCTGCTTTGCTTTTTAAAGACACCAGAGCACACCAGGCAGTGAGTATTTGGAGAAGTCCCAGTTGCCTCCAAGTCTTCCTGAGGACCCAATGCAGCTGAGCTGATTCCATAACCATCAGTTACAAGTGCATCCAGTTCCTCTTTGGCACTGTAGTTAGGATGAGTGACTCCACAGGTTTTAATTAGAATCAAAATTCTCCCTATGCCTTGGCATAAACTACATTTCTAGATTTCATACCACCTTTCTTCAAATTATCATTTTCTGAGTAATGTTAGCAGTAATGACTATTACTAATTTTGGCAATGAGAGAAACACAAAATTGCTCCAATTACAGTTTGGGTGCTGGTTTTTCCTTAAAGCACTGTCAAAGGCATCCTACTTCCCACAGAATCTGTTTCCCCCACAAAACATCCAGGACACTAAATATTCAGGACTGTTCCTGAACTTTAACATGAGTAAGAATGACAACTCTTCACATCACCAGTTGCCAGCATCTGGACAGACTTCATTTAATGTGCACACAACAGACATTTAAAAAAATTACTGAATAGGGTCTATTTTAATACTCAGAATTCCAGCCCTCCTTTGTCTCCAAGCTGTGCCTTGAACACAGCACCATGAACTGCACTGGCCAGGAGACTCTTTGGGAAGAAATGAAGCTCCAGCTCCTTAGGCATGGGCAGCTGATCCAGGTAGCCAAGAGAAGACCTGAGAGTGAAGCTGGGGCATGCAGAATAAGGGTGAATAATAATAAGACCTGAAGCAACCCCTTGCTTGATCACCAGGCTTGAGAGCCATGGCTGCACAGTGAGCCCAGCACAAGGACAGGGCAGTGTCCCTTCACTTCTGCACTGTCACCTGGAGGACTTTAGCCTGTGTGCATCAAAAATGGTGTAGGATACAGAATTAAAACCAAAACTGGGTGGCCTGCAGAGACCTTCTGGATCTGCTGCCCTTGCCCTGGCCATCAATGTGATGGGCACCAATTTCTCTGAAGGCTTCTCCCCTGTACCACCATCCTCACAACTCTTCCCTACCCCCAGGCCCTGATGAATGCCCTGACAGCTGACACTCAAGACTGCCAGCCTTGACAGAACCAAAACAGAAACTTCCTGCAAGGGACTCTCACCTCAGGAAAGCTTGCCCAAGCACGTGGCCTCTGGGCAGGGTCTCCAAAAGCAACAGGCTGCTGTCCATGGGAGCACTGTCACAGTCCTTTGGCACAGGAGTTCCACCCTCTCCCACTCCCACCTCCTTTGCAGAAGCAGTTGCACAAGCCAGGTCAGAATGTTTGTGGCTGAAAATTAAGTGAGCAAAACTTTTTTTTTTTTTTTTTTAATATAATTACTTGTTTCCAGCTTAATGACTTTCCTGCTCCACCTTGTCATGCTGTTTAAGCCAATTAAATTGAGACTGATGCAGTCCTACCTACTCTCCTCCCCACCCACCAATGCATTCCTGCACCTCCCTTGCTCCAGTGCCTGCCCAGGAGCACAGGCTGGGCTTCCCAACTGCAGAACACCCGACACTTTTGTGGGGTTTTCTTTGTTCAGCCCAGCTTGCCTTGGCATCAGCAGGAACTCATGTTGTGGGCAAGGGCACTGTGCATCTTGGAGAGCAGCCTGCACAGCACCTGCAGCCACGTCCAGCCCCTTCCCATCCCACCCAGGTGCTGTGGCATCACAGCTCCTCCTGGGACAGTTTCTTGCATGTTCCAGGAACCATCACAGTCCAGCAACCTGCTGCTCCTCCAGAGCCCAGCCAGGATCCCACACACAACTCCTCCTGGGACACCTGAACACTCACCTGTACCTTAGGGAAAGCCACCAGCACTTGGGCACCATCACACAGGCCCATGGCCCTCAATCCACATTTAAACAGCCACCTTAACCAGCCAGAGCAGAACCAAGTGCCCTTCCTCCACTGGAGACAGCATGCAGATGCTGCATCACCACGAGCTCACAGGGCATCACAGGTGCCAGGGTGCAAAACCAGCTCTCGGCCTTGGAACATACAGGTGATTCAGAGGAACGACTCAAATATGAGAAATGGGTCAGGTGGAAATACAATGGGCAACACTGAGGGTTTTAACTTGACTACAAGAACAAGGTTTGCTCTTATTAAATCACAACTGTTTTGGCATATCGTGGTAAAGTTTTTAATCCATGCATTTAATGCACAAAGTTAGGGATGCTGGTTTTTGAAAGCGAGATAATACCACCTTGACAAGGCCCAAAAGGTACCAAATCCTCCATGCAGGGGAAGCTACAAGGAGCCAAAATTCACCTTTTTACTCCAAATATACCAAGCTCTTCAGTTTAACCATCAGTTCTCTGCCCAAACAAGTCCTCACCAGTCTCAGCACAGTCCATACCAGGACCAACAAAGAATATGGCAAATAACAGTGACAAACATTATTTCACAACAGCACCCGCACTTCTGTCACAGAGAGAGCAACCTTTCCTTTTTCCTGGTCCCAAAACAGGGTAAACCACTTCTTTAATATTACCATCCCTGTATTTAATTTTAAAAAAACAAACAAACTAGCACTGTGCCACCTCAGCCTAATAAGGCCTAAAATCTTTTTCAAGCAGAGAGTGCATTTCAGTGCTCTAACTTTAAATGAGAAACTCAAAGGGTTTGCTGAAGCCTTTCTGAAAAACAAATATCCACCGTTTTTGCAAGGCTGCTCAACCATCAACAAGTGCCGGTGGAAACCAACACGACCCGCTGCAGCACTGTAAATTTCCATCGGAACGGAACGAAACTGAATGAAACTGAACGGCAACTTCGCGCTGAACTGATTTTACTTAAACGTTTGTCTCGAGAAAAGCACACAGCGGAGGCGGAGGGCCAGGGCAGCGCCGTCGTGCCGCAGCCCCGGCCCGGCCGCACCGCGGGGCTCCTGCGGGCACGGGCCGGCCCCGCCAGGGATGCTGCTGCAGCCGCGGCCTGCAGCGGTCACCCGGAGCGGCCGCAGAACCGTTCCCCGCCTGGAGAGGCCGGAGCCGCGTCCAGCCCGGCCTTTGTCCCGGCGGCCGGGGCCGAGCTCCGGGCAGGCCCTGCGCTCCGGCAGCCCCGGCGAGCAGGGCCAGGGCCGCGCTTCCTCCCGCCGAGCGCGCCGGGCGCGGCCAGGCCGCCAGCGGGGCAGGCCCGGAGCGGGGC